TCAAAATTTAATTTCCCTTTTGATCGACACGAGAGAGATAAATAAAAATATCCTTTAGAGATAAATCTTTGGACTGTGTAATGACCACGTATGTACTACCAATATAAAAAAAAAAAAAAAAAAAAAAAAAAAAAAAAAAAAAAAAAAAAAAAAACGAAAGGAAAAGTGGTGTTGTAGCTTCTAAGAAGAATTACGAGGATGTATAGTGCAGGCATCATTTTGATTTATTTCTTTTCTTTTTTTTATTTTGGAATCCTCTTGAGGATTAGTGGAGGGTCGAGGACGGGGGGTTAAGCGGGGAGGGGTAAGAGGTAGAAACTTTTTTTTTTTTCTTTTTTTCTTTTTTTTTCAAACGAGTTAAGAGAAGAGAACAACGCCGCCGGTCAATAATCGTTGTAAACGTAATTATGTATCGTTATTTTCTTCGAACACGCATTCCGTCTTGATTACGCAAGCCAGACGAACGAATGAACGAACGAACGAACAAACCGGCTGATGGATACCAGCAAGAGCAAACAACTCTACCATTCCAGGAGTCTTAACAGCGAGTAGTCAAAACAACAGTAACAGCAGCAGCAGCAGCAGCAGCAGCAGCAGTAGCAGTAGCAGTAGCAGTAGCAATAACATCAGCAACAGCAGACACAGCAAAAGCATCAACAGCCAACATTAATAACAGTAGTAGTGTAGCAATAACAAGGTCGATCAAAAGCAACATCAGTATGATTTTTTTTCATTATTATTATTATTATTATTATTATTATTATTGTTATTGTTATTGTTATTGTTATTGTTATTGTTATTGTTACTGTTGCTACTGTTGTTGCTGCTGCTGATATTGTTTTTGTTATTATTGTTATTATTGTTATTATGAATTGAAAAAATGCGAGAGAGTAATTATATTTTACTCTATGCTATTGAAATTTCACGGATATTTAGGGAAATCTATTAGAAATAATTTCGTCTATCAGGGAAATTTATTAGAGAGAGAAAGAGAGAGAGAGAGAGAGAGAGAGAGAGAGAGAGAGAGAGAAAAAAGAAAAAAAAATTCATTCGTTTGCATTCGTCGAAAAAAAGAAAGAAAGAAAAAAGAAAAAAAGAAAAATAGATATTAGAAAAATTTTACATTTGTTTTATTACAAAGGAAAATCTATTAGAAATTTTTCAATCGATTGAGGAAATTCATCGGAGAAAATTTTTTCAATCGTGTCAAAAAATCAATCGTCAAAAAATTAATATATTAGATCTTCATTTGATTCATTAAATATAATTCTATTCGTCATATCTGACAGATTAGATTTTCAAATTCAATTTTTGCAGAAATTTTCTTTCTCTCTTTTTCTTTTTCTTTTTTTTTTCTTTTTTTCTTTCTCTTTTTTAAAGTCTTAATCCGATCGGATTTTAAAAATCGACGGTGATCATTTCGAATTCAATTCTTTTTTATTTTCTTTTTTTTTATTTCCTTTACCCCCACATCCCCCCACCTTTTTTTCTCCCCCTCCAATCGAATCCGATCGAATTCAAATTTTTGTTCGATCAATCCGATAGAATTCCTAAACCTTTCTCTCTCTCTCTCTCTCTCTCTCTCTCTCTCTCTCTCTCTCTCTCTCTCTCTCTCTCTCTCTCTCTCTCTCTCTCTCTCTCTCTCTCTCTCTTTCATCGGTGTAAAATTTCCATTGGAAAAATTTTTTTCGATTCAAATTTCGCGGGCAATGCGATCAAATTTGAATTTCATCGACATTTCTTTTTCGTCGATCTTCTCGACGTTAAAAGATGGAAACGAAAATGAATAAAAAAAAAATATATATATATATATATATATAAATTCAAAAGAACAAAAAAAAAGAAACAATACAACCAATAGAAGCAAGTGAGAATTGATTATAA